TACACAATTCCTGAGAATAATGAAGATGAGCAGCACAGGAATGACTGATCTATCTTTAGCAATGTGCCAGCTACAGAACGAAGTGTGACTTCCACACTCCAAAGTAGGCTTGCAAACATTATTAATCCTGTTGCACAACACTTTGTTTTCATTGGGAGCTGGACTGTTATATAAATTTATGGTTACTTACAATTTTGTGGGTGCTTTATGGCTTTTAAAATGGGAGAGTAGCAAATAAAACCAAATGAGTTCAACAGTGATGCTGGAGACTTGTATTATAATGCTGAATGGGCTTGATTGTCTGCATTATTTACTTTTGAGCTTGAACAGAATTCTTGAATTAGGGTTTTTAGGTTATGTGACAGGGACTCTTGCAGTTGAAGTTCTGACATTAAGGCCATTCATTAGTTTAAGACATCTAAAAGGGTAAAACAATGGGCTGACAGCAATGATAGCAGCACAGAAGCAGAAAAATCAAGCAAGGTCTTTTCTCAGGAGCTTGACGTTATGAGGCCCAGCAGAACAGTACTCCAGGCAGACAAATTCATAGGCAGAAGGTGCCAATGAGGCACATTTGCTAAGGACTAGCAGCCTCTCAGCAGAATGGAAAGGATCTGATCAATGAAGAGAGGACAGCATGGAGGGATTGGAGGCTATTATGAAAAACTGGGTCCAGAGGTTACCTTACGATGAGCTAAGAATTTCATTTGGAGCATATCCACTACTTTGAGTGGGTATCCAACACCATTTGCAAGGAACACAACAGCAGTTTGTTACACTAGATCCCCTTCTCCTCCAGATACATGGGCCTTGTTATTCCCTTGGCTGAGCCCAGCACACAGCAGAAACAGTGCCTGTGCAACTCAAACTCCATGGGCTCCTCCTTTCCTCTCCCATTCCACAACAGGTGAAAACAAAACAGTTACTGCACATGAACACGCAAATAGCAAAAGTGTTCTGAGTTCAAATGCAAATCAATGCCTACCTGATTTTGGAATTACAGGTCATTTCATTCTCAGGGTAGTGAATATCCACCGCGTCCTGAATGACTGTACCATACTCATAGACTTTAATCTTCTTTGTCACCCCAGCAATGGCAAAGTAGTCACAGTCTCTGTCGAACTCAATACTGTGAGGAACAAAAGCACAGGTTGAAGACTGTGTGAAACAACAAACATACTTACCAACAGGGTATTTTTACCACCTAAACATCTTGGTATGGCAGAGCTGAGAATCACAGTTTGCAGTGAGCAAATTCAGAGCACCTTGGTCAGGTCTGGCACACATGCCAACACTGTGGAGTTCCTGCTCTCAGGCACAGTTTCCTAACCCTCTCCCAACACACATCTCCATTCACTGATACAGGGTTTCTGTGATAGCACAATCTCCCTCCCACAGCCAGGAGCTTTATTCAGGTGCTCTGGAGATTTTCCAGTTCAGCTACATCATCAACACCAAATGTCAAAGCTTAACATTCAATTCTTCCATCAACGTGCCATGGGATGGCTGCCCATTGATTTCTCTTGGTTCTGTTGCTGCATCCCTGTGCTGTGTACAGCAGCTTGGTGAACTTTTAAGTGCTAATGCAGAGCAAATCAGTATTTGTGGAAAAAACCCTTCTAAATTCCCTAAGTAACAACAGGGGGTCAAACATCTATCACCAGGACTGTAAAAACTGTGCACACTATGACTTCCACTTAAGGTTGCTCATGGAAACCAAGGTACCTTCTTTCTTGACCTGCAGGGCAAGTTTGTAATAGATATCAATGAAGTTGGAAGTAAAAGCAAGTCACCTTATAACAAAGTTAAGCTGCAAATGAGAAAAGCCTGAGGTTGTACATGGAATACATCTGAGAGAAAGGCAGGCAGCGGGTTATAAACAGCTAATGTCATTGCTACCTTTGCAGCTTGGAAGGGCTTGAGAGAAATCTGCTAGACATCTAGCAGCCAAGGAAGAAGTCTTGCTTCTTAGGAGCTCCTGCCTCATTGGAGCCCATGGCACTGCAGGCAGGGCAGGGTGGATGTGCACATACACCCACAGGGAGCATCAGCCTCAGTGAGACACCTCCCAGAAAGGGTTTGGGGACTGCATTTGTCCTCAGTCTCCAGTTTTCTACAACCAGTAACCAGTGCCCCTCCAGTCTCTTGAGTAAGCAATCAACCTACTGCTTTGAGAGGTCTTTTTCGGGGTTCTTCAACTCAGTAATTAATTTTAATCTCTGCTGACCCTACCACATGTTTTTTCCCTCCATGAATCCAGAGTGTTCATGAACCAGGCAGAAAGTTCTTAATGGCAGCAATGAAAACCGAGTTTACACTGACTTCACATTCCAAATCCTGAGAGCAGGGGTATTTAAGGTCCCTTTCTACAATTAGAAAGCATTAAACCAATTACAGGAAGAGAGAGGACTCTTCAGGCTGCCCCCATAGCTATAACAGCATGAGTTTTCTACCCCTCAACAGAGCTGAGAAGTCGAAGGCACTGCAATGCTTCCAGTGGGAGATAAATGTAAATGCCAACAGAATTTCCAAGTCCTTGTAAAGGAGATATCATTGAGTTATTTTTAAACTACAGAGAGAAAAGATTGTTGATATGCAGCCTGATGGTATAGAGTAATTCAGCGAAGCAGCTTGCAACTTGGCCTTTTAACTCAGGCACCTAAACTTGTCACAAGCAGTGGCAGAAGATGGTCCCAGTGGGAGATAAATGTAAATGCCAACAGAATTTCCAAGTCCTTGTAAAGGAGATATCATTGAGTTATTTTTAAACTACAGAGAGAAAAGATTGTTGATATGCAGCCTGATGGTATAGAGTAATTCAGCGAAGCAGCTTGCAACTTGGCCTTTTAACTCAGGCACCTAAACTTGTCACAAGCAGTGGCAGAAGATGGTCCCACTCAGGCGGAGGTTGGTCTCTTCTCCCAGGCGCAACAGGAC